TAGATACCATTGGGCATTTAATTGTTTTTCTTTCTTTCTTTCTTTCTTTCTTTCTTTCTTTCTTTCTTTCTTTCTTTCTTTCTTTCTTTCTTTCTTCCTTCCTTCCTTCCTTCCTTCCTTCCTTCCTTCCTTCCTTCCTTCCTTCTTATATCTCTCTTTCCCTCTTTCTTTCTTTCCTTTCTTTTTCTTCCTTCCGTCCATTCTTTCTTTCTTGTGTGTGTCTCTCTCTCTCTTTCTTTTCTTCCTTTCCCTTCCTTCCTTCCTTCTTTTGTTCCTTCTTTCTTTCTTGTCTGTCTCCCCCACTTACTTTCTCTGTCCTTCTTTCTCTTTCTTTCTCTCTCTCTTTCTCTCTTTGTCTCTCTTTTCTCTCTCTCTCTCTCTTCCTTCCTTTTATTCTCCCCCCCCTCTCTCTCACTCACTCACCCCGACTCTCTCTCTCTCACACATACCTTCCAGTTGGCGAAAATTTCTGTTTTGCCAGCTGGGAAGCTGCAAAGAAGCCTCATTTTTCCTGCCACCTGCAGCTCTTGGAGGGCCTCATCACTGCCTCCTTCCTCCTCGAGAGCTGGGGACAGCCAGCCTCTCCCGTCACTGCACTCTTCACTCGCCTTTCACCCAGAGGATCTGCCAGTGGGGTACCTGCCATTTCATCTCCCGAGAGAAGCTCGGGAGAGACATGCAAATGGTTGCAACTCGAGGCTCTTGAGGAGGATGCTGGACACCACGGGTGGCAGTGGTGCCCGCTGCTGCTCTTCTGCTGCTCCCGGTAATGCAGGCTTCTTGGAGAGCATTAAGTTGCAGGGGCACCGATTCCAGCAGCTGCATTTCCCCTTGAAATTTGCTGTCTCAGCAATCTGAAGGGGACAATCTCCCAGCGACATCTCATGCGCTCCCACCCTTAACGGCGAGGGAGTGAGGACAGCTGGGTGCAGTTTGGCACCTCCCGGCTTCCCTCAGATCATCGAAGGGCCTCGCGCGCCTGCTCGTTCACATGGCCTGCGTGCTTCCAGCAGAAATGGGAAGCGCAGAGATCTTAATGTAGTAGGGCAGGGGAAGCTGGAGCGGGAGATTAAATAAACAAATTTGGCTTCCTTCCTTGCGCGGCAAGAGAGAAAGTTGCCTGAGACGCCGCTGGGAGAATGTCCCCTTCGGGTTGTCCCCTTCTGCCGCCCCCCTTGCCTCTTAGCACCCCCTAAGTCATCACACCGCCCCCCAGGTGGAGGTACCACCCACTTTGGGAACCATGAGCTAGATGGAGTACAAAGGTTTGCTGAACATATTAGAAAGTCTTTATTTCAAACCTTGCATAGTAGTAAATTTAGTATTTGTCCAGGACCATACGTGGCCTATAAGCAATGAGCTCGCTACACCTGCTTTAAATACTGTTCATTCTTAATTCTTCTTCAAGAATAAACTAGGGGGAGGGAGGATTTTTATCATACTATTTTAGGAAACAAATAACTTTAGAAAATGAGTGATAGAGTAGAAAATTACGTCTACACACACCTCTTATATTACTGCAAATAACATAAGACTGATACTAAAAATGACATTTCATGGGCTCGGACTAACCTTCTGACTCCCATGATCAGTAATACAACCAGATGTTTAAGGGTTTCCAAAGATTGTCGTCAGCCTAATATTGGCCTGTTGTGTGTATTAGTATTGTGTAGTGTAGGTATTAGTTATACAAATCAGTGTGTATCTTTTTTGGATCATATTTTTAACCAAGTTAAAAATTTTGCCAGTAGATTTTGTTCCTCCATTCAGAACGGGATGGTGATAAGGCCTTCCATGGAAGGTGAGATAGCCAAGTAGTTGTTTTCCCCCTCCCCCTCCTCCTCCCCCTCCTCCTCCTCTTCCTCCTCCTCCTCCTTCTTTGAGTATTTAGGGCTACCAGATCTGGAATAAAAAAAAATCTGTTCATTAGATACAATAACAAACAGGGATATTGGATGCCTGAGTCCTCTGTTGCCATCTAGTGATTGCCATGATTTTTGCACACATAATAGTCAGGCTCAGAATGCCCATCTGCAAGGAAGGAAGCAGTTGTATCATGTTTCCAACTCTTTGTGTTTTTTTTTTGTCATCTTGGAGTTGACGATGTAAAGCTCCAGTAATGACCTATAAGCATCTCCAGATTTTGAAAGTTGTTAGGATCCTTTCATGTATGCTGTAATTGGTATAATTATGAACTCTGTATTATGAAACCTGCTATAGAAAGTTGTTATTGAATATGCCACATTCACATTTTGTAGACTTACTTCCAAGTATTAGAGATTTGCTGTAATTGAATTGAATGTTATTTCTCTTATTTTCCTTTTTAGTATTCAACATGTATATGGCGCTCAGCATCCTCCTTTTGATCCACTGTTACATGGAAAGTAAGTTTTTTTTTTCTTTTGTGGCTGAGGGACTTTATTTTTGTGAAAATCTTACTGCCTTATCTTAAACTTGAGTAAATGCTTTAGTTGTACTCCTATTCTGTTTCTTTCTGATGTAAGTGCCCTCATGAGTACAAGAGAATACATTTTGGCTAGGTTAGCTTATTGAATGAATATTTAATGCCATGCTTTTTAAAGAAATAAGTAATCATTTCTCGTTAAAATCTCAGAGATACAAAAAACCTAATCAACTGAGTCACATTTTCAGTTATAATGTTTAAACACAAAGTAATTTCATCATAATGTTTAAAAATGACATTTACTATCTGTTCTATTACTGTACTATAGCTTAAAAGGAACTGTAACATGCAGTTTTAACAGTGTAATTTTTCCTTCTCTTTATATAAACTGTTGAAATTAATTAATTGATTATGTATTGTATTATCAATATACTATTAAAATCATAACTGTAACCTTTAATTGGGTGAAACAATGCATTATAGGCAGTGGTGGGTTTCCATTTTTTTACTACCAGTTTGCTCGTGCATGCGCATGACACTTATGCACATGCGCAGAAGCATCCGGGTGGATGGGCGGAGCCGGCAAAACCCACCTCTGATTTTAGGGCAAAGTTTTTTTTTTTTAAATAAAAAAAAATCAAGGTACTTCATATTGGTTAACTTACAGAATGGATCTGAAATCCAGGACTGACTCTTGTGAAACTGAAATTTGGCAAATTTTAAAAAACATTTTATAACATAAAAATTATCATGAAACTTTGCGACATAATACAGAATTTCATAAGATATTTCCTGTGCTGTTGTTTGACTGTGTTGTATAGTTCAAAATGAAGGCAGATTTTGAAGGCAGATACATTTCTGAATGTATCTCAACCTTTCCAGTAAAGACAGTACATCAGAAGTTCTGTGATTATTAAAGGCATTGAGGAATCTGGCAAGGAAATGTGTTTGAAAGGATGCCCAAAAAGCTATGGATTGTCTAGTTTAATTTAAGACTCTGCTCTGTTGCTTGCAATTCTCTGAATTGTTGTTTGTTTCTACATTTGTGTTGTGAAACCGTAACTAGATTATTATTGCCATGAGTTCTCTGTTTCATTTGATTGCGTAAAGGGAACAGAAAACAGAAATGAACAGGTATTATGTACCAGCATGTGACTTATTCACCATAAACACTTAGCCAAGAATCCTGGATTGTAGCTGTATGTTAATACTGCTCATTTCTTTATGTAAAATGAAAGCTTTGTGATTCGCTTTACTGATACTAATGCTGTATACTTTGCCTATTTCCAGACAGGAAATCCCACTTTCTAACTAAACAGTAATTTGATGTAATATATGAAGTATAATTTGGTTCACATTTATTTACTGCAATGGTTTCATTTTCTTACTGTGAGAAATTGGGAAAGCATGTAGAATACCGTCTCGTTCTTTTTCATCACAGTAAATATTATGAGATATTTTGGAAATTCATTCACTGATTTTACTTTTTGTGAAGAGAAGCTGATCTGTTTTCTTCTAGTGAATTTAATGTGGACATCAGAATATGTTCTGCTGATATGACTACTCTTGGATATTACCCATCCATGTCAGGGTGGGTAATAATGAATAGAGTTCGATCTAATTCATAGATGAGAAAAGTAAATAAAGGATCCTTACTGTGATAATAGAGAGAAACCATAGGCCTCTAGTCATTCAGCTATCTCAGTTATAATAGATTTTTCAAAAGTGCTTGCAGTTCCAAGGAATATTGTGTGGCAATTCATAGTTTATGGCTATTTCTTCAGAACTGGTAGTAAAAGTTGACAAAACAAAACTAAATATTAATTGCTCTTTAAGTGTCTACTGAAGTTTTAGAATTATTTTGTTATGCTTATGCTTATGTTGTTGCTTAATCTTGTATACGTTTCTCTTCATATAACCCATAGTTTTCTTTCTCATATAACCAAAGCTATTCCCATAAAACTGGTGTTGCATGGTTAGACAAGGTCCCAGTTAGCATGTGGACAGTCATGAACCACTTAGAAATTCAGCAGATGCAAACACATATATTTACAATTACAGTAAGTCAAGGTTAAACGACCCTGTAATCCCTTAATTTGGGTAGAGTCGGGATGACTGGATGGATCTGAGCATTTACTGGCTGGAAGCCCTTCCTGATGCCACATGGAGTTTGCAGCAAATATTTTATTTACACCCTAGGAGAGAAATCTTCTGAATGGGAGGCAAGTGTCTTCAGCACTAGATTACCTCACCATTCACCATTAAGTCATAGTTTATTACCTAAGCATAAAGTAATAAACCAATAGTATATTGAAAATTAAAAATTGTAGATTACTTCCCTGAGATCTCTATATATATGTAAAATAAATGCCTGAACAAATAATAAAGGGCAGAAATCCAAGCTATTGTTGCATGATGCCTTTAATATATATAATAACATGGCTAAGGTATGTTATAATCATTACAGATAATTGTGGAAATACTTGCTGTCTCTTGCATAACTTTTCTCTGTTCTTACTTTTTGATATGTAATTAGTACCTAGGTTTGCATGCTCCAATAACTGGCAGTATGTTGGGCAAAGCGTTGCTTTATGCATAATACTCTATTCTTTGCAAATAGCAATGCTGAAGTATCACACAACTTTAAATGAACGGCTTAGTATGTCTTAGTTTGAATGAATCTTGTCACTGTTGTATCTGCACCAACTGTCATTAATGCAATTCAGAATTCAGAATAAGGTTGCAAGCCCACCTTAACAAGAAAACTGGTTAATATCAAAATATTTCCACTTTCAACTGGTGAATGTACATTGGTAACTGTAGGAGATGAGCAGGCTGAGCCCAAGGGTAATTGTAAGTTTTCTAATTTCTGTAAAATTGGTGTGTAGCAACAGCACTTAGGCTTATATACCGCTTCATATTGCTTTTACAGCCCTCTCTAAGCGGTTTACAGAGTCAGCATATTGCCCCCAACAATCTGAGTCCTCATTTTATCCATCTTGGAAGGATTGAAGGCTGAGTCAATCTTGAGCTGGTGAGATTTGAACTGCCAAACTGCAGCCAGCAGCCAGCTGAAGTAGCCTGCAGTACTGAACACTAACCACTGCACCATCCTGGCTCTTAGCTTTAGCTCCATCAAAGATTAATGATGAAGGACTGATAGTGGTTACTTAAGCTTGACTTGGTGAGGGGATCGTCTTGGCTGACCATTAAAGGGACCCTCTTTTGTTTAGTTGTAAGATTCAGACAATGTGTGACAAGGAGTATTCTTTTAAGTATCAAGTTTGCTAATGAATTTTTAACATTAATTAGCACCTATTGTGGATTTATTTGCCAAGCTATTATGTGTATATATATTCTTCTTTAATTTTTAAAAATAGATAATGAAGTTTCTATTTCATAGACGGTAATAAAAAAAGGCTAAAATGTACAAAACAGTTATGCAGTCTTTTCCCCTACTAGTCTGTTTTCTTGATATGAGATCACTGTTTTATAAAACCAGACTGATTTTATGGATACAACATAGATTATACACGCTGCATGTTCTATATAGCAACACTTTTTAGCTTTTACAAAGGCTTTTATTGTCATGATCTTTATTAAATAGATAAGCTAGTGATTATATATATATATATATGTGTGTGTGTGTGTGTGTGTGTGTGTGTGCGCGCGCGTGTGCGTACGTACGTACATACATACATATATATATGCAGCTTCAGCTTCTATCTCTCTCTCTTCAAATGAGATAACCAGCAAGTATGTGTAAAAGAATGTTTTCTTCAAGCTTCCTGAAATAAGGACAAACTGTTCAACCAAATGGAACAAAAGGAAAAATGGCTCTTTGTGCTAAAATATCCAAAACCACATATCCAAAATGGTCCTCAACTTATAACCACGGTCATAATGGGGGGCCTGCCCATTAGGGTCACATGTTATGATGACAATTAAGTGAAGCATCTGACTTAATAACCCCTATTTCTGCGTTCCCCATTGCAATTGTTAAACAAATGTGTGGGTCATTAAGCAGAGCATGAGGTGTATCTCAGGGGGAAGCTCTTGGAGGGCTAGTGTAGGCCCAGGCTCACTTGCCCCAGACCTCCGAAGGTCTCCCCCACCCCAGAGACAACTGGTGCTCTGCTTCCTGCCCCTCAGGTTTATCCAGGCCGTAGCCGCCTCCTAAGCCAGCTATTCAGTCAGGCAATGGAGCTTAAAAAGTAGCCAGTAGATGTTTTGACCTAGGCTTCCCAAGAGCATGAAGCAAACTCCTTGTCCGGACAAAATAACCTTTTATTAATTTACTGTGAATTCTTCCCATTCACATACAGCAAAGTCTTTCATGGGAGGATTTACAGTCACAGACCTTATCTGGCTTGGAGAGCTCCCAGGCTGATATCTGCAAAACTTGGCAAAGAGTCTCGTAGAGTCATGAATCAATTAAGTGAACTAATTGTCTCCTGCAAGCTCCACTCCCCTTTTGCTCCTCTTTTATTTTACTCTGGGAGGGGCCATTCATCATCCACCTGTGGCCTTACTCCCAAGTTGACCCCTGTTCTTTAGCTTTTTCCTTCACCTGGAAACTCTGCGCATGCGTACACTGGGAACAGACTCCAGCTGTTCGTCTACCTCACTGATGTCTGACTCTGAAGGCAGCTGATAACTGTTGGATGGCCCTTGCCCCATCTCTGCCTCTGATGCAGAGCCCTCATCAGAGCCTTCCCCAGACTCCAGGAGTGGCCCATGTTCCTCCCCAACCTCCTCACTGTCTGACACAACAGTAGAAGTTGCTGACACACAGAGAATAGTTGCAGACTGTAGGTCAAGACCTACTTCCATCCATGGAACTTGCAGGGGCAGAGGGAGCCTTGGGTGGCTCAATGGGAAGTTGGACCCAGCCTACAGTCTGTAATTGCCTTCTGTTGCCTGGCTGAGGGGCTAATTTTGGAGCAGGCCGGAGCCTGAGGGGACTCAGAGGTATGATTGCGGGAGTTTGATGGGGAAATGCTACAGCATTCCTGCAGTTGGTCATAAGGGTGAATTACCATGGGGGCACTGCAGCAGCCATAACTTTAAAACCAATCTTAAGTATCTTTCGGAGGGTCTGTTGTAACTTCAAACAGTTGCTAAGTGACCCATTGTAACTTGACTACCCGTATACTATTTAATTAAAAGATGTTAACAGTATAGGTAGTCTTTTCAGCAGGATACTAAAGACATTTTTAGGAAGTAAAACAATGAGACTGTTCTAAACATTTTTTCCAAGCAAACAAAAGAAAGATCTACTTTAATAATGGCATTCCTAAAAATATAATTGTGCAACACATGTTATGCCACTTTTCAACTAAACATTCTCCCAGAATTTAAATTTTCTGTAAAAAGTTCTTTTTCAAATTTACATAAGAAGCAAAATAAAGAAAACATGAACATTTTGTAGGATTTATGTATTAAATATTTTAAAAAACTAATTACTGAACAAGTTAGTGTGTTAAATGATTTCTGAGCTGTCCTTCAGCATTCAGAAATGATATTCAATCACGCTTAAAATGTACTGAAATTATCTTTATATATTTAGTCAAACATTTAAAGAGGTTTTAAACTTCAGTTTCTGCTGTTCTATTATGATAGATTAATTTTTTATGAAGGAAAAACATATTACAGAGAATTTTATATATTTATAAGACATAGTAATATGAAATATCAAGTAAAGAAATTCAAACACTTCAACTGCCATTGTGTCTACATTCTTTTTTAACCCTTGATTAATACCATAAAAGCTATCAAATTTCATTGTGGCTTATTAAACCCCCAAACAGCTCTTACAACATAAGCAATGTTATAGGGAGTTCTATGCTGAATTCTGTGAAATACACTTGTTCATCTCAGAACCTGTCCTACTGTGTAGAAACTACCTGCTTATAGAATGTAATGTGATAGAAAAATGAGAACAATATTAGAGTTGAGTAGACAATCTGTGCCCTGTTGGATCATCATTTCAGAGATATTTCTTTATCTAAACAGAGAAACGGAATGTCTTCAGGTAGGCAAAAAAGCAGAGGGGAGTAGGAGTGACTTCTGACTTCCTACCATATTCTCCATTAACTTTCTTTTGGGGAAGCTGGCAGGGAGTATCAGAAATATTCTCCCCTCCTTCCTCAAGTCCCTGCCAGCTTCATCATTTACTTTAGTTATGGAAAGTTTGCAGGGATAAAGTCAGTGGTGAAGCCAGCAGGAAGTTGCAAATCAAAGGCCAGCAAGCAGCTAAGCGAGTTGAGCAGGTGCAGAGGTGCAGGTTACAAATGGCACGCGGGAGTGAACTATAGGTGGCATGTGGGTCAGGGTGATGGGTGAGATAGATCAGAAGGGTGCCTGGTGTACATGAGAGATCTTGTGCTGGCTGGATAGGGTGTACAATGGGGTAGCATGAGTCAAAAGTGAGTGGAGTTTATGGGGAGTATTAAGAGATGCTCTGTGAGTCCTGCAGGTACGTGGGGGAGGCAAAAAGAGTGTATGGGTATTGCAGGGGTATTTTAGAGGTCCCATGCTGGTTGTAAATGGTGCAAGGAGGATGGCCTGTGTTGGGATGGATATCTGGGGTGCTTGAAGTCCTGTGCAGGTCAGGGACAATACATGGGGTGGGTAGCGCAGGTTGGGATTCATGCAGCATCTGAGAGGTGCTGCATGAATCAGGAAAAGTTAATCCATTTGAGACACATTGATTTAAAAATTGTTGCCCTATGATACATTGTTTCACTTGTTTAAAAATTCACAACATGAATTTTAGTAGTATATAGATTGTAGTAACTCTGAGTGCGTACGTGCATGTGCGCACCCCCCCCCCCTTAGTTTTGTGGGAGGAAAATAGGGGGGAAAATTCTGCCTAGCAGGTATTCATTTTTATTCCCATAACATCAGAAAAGCAAGCAAACACAATAGTATAATAAAATAACACTTTTTGCCACTTTTTAAAATTTCCCCAGGTGGCAGAAGAAACTCTTAATAAGCTTAACTAGATGTCTGGGCATTCAGCCAAAAGCACTTCACACCTTGTAAAAATGTAACAAAGCTGAATCAACAAACCAGCCCAGCACTTGCCTGAAGGAAACCATAGAGAAAACTGAGATAGCCGCCCTTAAAGGGATTATCCCAAAAGAATAGAAATCATGTAGTCACAGGAATTCTCTGCCTTGCACTTGAGAGGATTATCTCCTGGACAAAAGAAGTACCTCTTAAGGCAGTCTTCAATTTTTTCCTAGTTGGCTTCTCCCAACTGGAATGGGGAAATTTTTCCAACAGTATGCTGCAGTAAAAATATTTGAAGCTTTTTTTCAGCCCTAATGAGTGGTAAAGAGTGAAGCAATCTTCTGTGCAAATGGAAGATTGCTTCATTCATTAGCACCTCATTAGGGCTGACAAAAAGCTTCTGATTTGGATGTTTTTAAAAACTAACTCGATCTTCTGATTTAGCTGTTTTCATATTGTGTTTTTTTAATCGACATCTCTTGTCTGTGAAGTCCAGCATTATATTGGAACAGTAATATATCTGATTGATACTGTTTGTGATCATTCCAACTGGCATGACAGAGAGGTTTAGTTTACATAGTGGTTATTCACATTGAACACAAACAAAGCATATGAAAACCATGTGTTCTTGAGAAGGGCTTTTTGCTACAGTGTTAACACCTATTGTATAAATAATTGTTACTTACAAAAAACTCCTTTTTCTCTTTTTGCTTGTTTTATTTTAACAGCTACAACTGAGTAAAGGAAACATTATGGAAATTCTGGACAGCCATTTGTCCCGAAGGTCTCCTGCTTGTGCAAGGGGGTTGAACTAGAAGACCTCCTAGGTCCTTTGCAACTCTGTTATTCTATTATTCTCAAAATGACATCCTAATCTGCTGGCTTTTTCCATCAGAAATACATCAGTTTTAGTCAGCTTCATTTTTTTTCCTTAATTAAATTTTACAGTAATGCAAGTATTGGTAAAAGCTGATTTTTTGTTTGTTTGTTTGTTTTTAAACAGTTTAAAACAAGGAAACAAGCCTCCAACGACCCCAGGAAAAACCAAGAAAGTCAGCACATTTCAGGAATTTGAAAGCAACACGAGTGATGCCTGGGATGTAGGGGAAGATGATGACGAACTTTTAGCAATGGCTACAGAAAGCCTCAACACTGATGTAGTCATGGAAACGGCTAACAGAGTAATTCAGAATCACAGCAAATTACAAGAGCAGCACAAATTGCAGGAGGAACAGATAGAAAGGGAAGAGCCCCAGAAAATTTCAGACTTGCCTTCAGCTGCGTGTGGTGACAACAGGCTGGTTAAATCTGTCAGTGAAACAAACGCATCAAGTTCTGCAGGTACAGTATATTACACTTAAGAAACTCAATTGCTGCCCTATGCTTCCCCGGCTGAATGCAACAGTTGTTCCTGAGCACCAATTGAAAGGTCATGCTGGTTTTCCAAAAGTGAAGTTGGAAAATGGCTAATAGCTCAATTCCTATAATGTGAATATTGAATTGATTATCCCGACTTACATGGAACTAATCCCTCTTAGTTCTGCAGAGACTATTCCTCTGGTAGGAGAAATGGGAAAAATCTTATTTTTACTATTTTCAGTATGAGAAAATTATAATGGATTTCTAAATATTATATAAAATAGCACTGTACTTTCTTGTTACAAGTAAAGTACTTCCTTTCTAACAAAAGGGAATTTCAATGTGGTACTCCTTAGTTTTCCCATTTGTTTCTTGACAAACATGAGGTCAATGGCAGGATAGATCTAGTCTTATATCTGGTTTGGAGGTAAGGGGATAAATACTGCTATTTGTAGTCAAAGGTTTGATGATGATGATGATGATGATGATGATGATGATGATGATGATGATGATAATAATAATAATAAACAGTTTATATCCTGCAACGTTACCTTAACAGTTCCTAGGTCCTTGGTTAGGGCTTGAGCTGTTGAGCTACCAACCAGTCCCAAAGGCTGTGAATCTCACCAAAGATTAACATAATAATAATAATAATAATAATAATAATAATAATAATAATAATAGCTTATTAGTAACCTTGACTATCACTAAGTATTGTATCTTTTTATTCTTGATGAATGTGTTTTATTCTTCTTAGGTACACTGAGACCATATGCACTAATGACAAATTACTTGTGTGTCCAAACACATTTAGCCAATAAAGTGTTCTGTTCTGTTCTGTTCTGTTCTGTTCTATTCTATTCTATTCTATTCTATTCTATTTTATTCTACTCTACTCTACTCTACTCTACTCTAAAATACGTAGTAATACTGTACAGGTATTCCTCCACTTATGACCACAATTGAGTCCAAAATTTATGTTGTTAAGTGAAACATGTTAAATGTGTTTTGTCCCATTTTATGATTTTTGTTGCCACAGTTGTTAAGTGAATCACTGTGGTTGTTAAACTAGTAACACAGTTGTTAAGTGACTCTGGTTTCCCCATTGACTTTGCTTGTCAGAAAGCCGCATGACTCTAGGCACTGCAACAGTCATAAATATGAATTAGTTGCCAAACATCTGAATTTTGATCACCTGATCATGGGGATGCTGGAAAGGTTGTAACTGAAAAGCGGTCATAAGTCACTTTTCTCAGTGCTGTTAAAACTTTGAACTTTGAGGACTACCTGTATGTATGTATGTATGTATGTGTGCATATTTATTTATTAAAAATAACTTTTCTTTCTCCCATTTCAGATGTAATCAACTTTATGCCTTGTTTCTCCTGTTATATTTTGTAGATAACACTAATGCAAATACTTCTGTGCCAAGATCTCAGTCGCTTCCACAAGCCTCTACATATGCACTTACTGGCGGGGTGGCAGATAATGCCTCTGGTGTTCATGTATTATCTGAAAGAGAAGCATTGCGGTTAGATAAATTCGAACAGCTTCTTGCTGGCCCAAATACAAACCTTGGTAAGTATTCATAAACATTAAACAGCACATTAGATTAAGATTTCTTAGATTGTTGTGAGAAAAGAATAAGTGTTTGCTCTTTCCTAAAATGCATATTGGAACTCTTTTACTGCCTTCTTCTCTGTTTAATTCTTTTGGCTTAATGGAAAAGTAGATGGTCTATTTCAGTACCTCTCCCAAGGATTTTAACTATAAGCCTATTGTTGCACTTCTGTTGTCAGATCATTTCAATATTAGAGTGGCATTGCAATTTTTATGATATCTGGCTGAAATTTCCCCTAAAATGGCTTGGGAAAAAATAAAAACAATATTACAGGGATAGGAGAAAGAGTTTAACTGCATCCCCAGAGATCTCCTCTCTTAGGTAGATTAAACTCTTCCCAGACCTTCACACAATTGTTTGGTAGCCAAAAGGAATGCAATTTCTTCTTGCTATAGTAAAGTGTGCCTGTTATTTAAACAGGCATAAGAAAATTAGAAATCCAGAATTTTTCAGGCATCCTATTTGCACAATTTTACTTACAAAGAGCTTCCTTCTTTTTAATCTCTGCGTAGAGAGATGTTTAAATTTTTTATCCATATTCAGAGACATGGATGGAGAATGAGTCTACATTTATAGGTACCTTGATCTATTTTTCTATGGAGATTTCCTTTAATTACCATAGGTTCTGAAGCAGTAGATTTCACGAACATTGATTCTGTGAGCAATCAATGATATAAATTATACTTTAGATATTTGTTAGATAAAGAATTTCCTGGGTTCCCATCACAGCCCTGGTCTAGAATTACACCAGCTATTGAGCTGCTCTGACTAACTATAGTTAAAAGATATATTGGTGATGGTGACAAAGAAGAACAAGAGGCAGTTAAAAAAAAGTATTCCTTGGCAGGTTTTTTTTTTAATTCACCATGAAACAATGAAAACTCCATCTGTATGTTTTATGTTAAAGCTTAAAACATTTTCACATATCCATGCAAAAAATATACATTTTGCTTTTTACTAAACAAGAACAAATTTCAGCTTTGAAGATATGTCAGTTTTAGGAAATCTTTTATCTCTTTTCTATATAAATGTGGTGAAAGGGAGAGACTGTCATTAAAAATTATCACATAAACCCATAGGTACCTTTCTTGACATGTACAAGGAAGATGCCAATTGATGCATCATCCCATATGTTAAATACTTGCTTGGGATACTGATCTTTTCTGTAAAAAAATTGAAAATACATCATATTTTTTATTGCAATGGAGAGTAATAGAACAGAAGTGTAATGTGGCAGACTAAAACTTCATTATATTTTTGGATTGCTGCCTTTGCTAATTGTTGCATTGTAGTAGTGGTCCACCTTTTTACTTTTTTTGTTCTTATTATAACATTCTTATAAAAGTACTTTTTGAAACAATTTGAATTAAATAAAATATTTCATTCTGTGCCATTTTTCTTTTGTGGCAAGCCATTTCTTTATCCTCCCACCTTTGATCTCTCTCCAGGTTAGACAGTCTGTTGATAACAACCAGGCATTGATGTTTACTTTATTCCCAAGTTAAGCACAGAACACCATTTTTTTTTTACATGTTTGCAACTTTTATAGCTGCTATGTGCTGCTGTCATATTTCCCTGAAAAGATCCAACTGGAAAATAAGTCCTGTGTGATTTTTCAGGATGCTTATAATATAAGCCCTACCCCCCAAATAAGCCCCAGTTAAGATATCAGCCAGGTGGACGTATTTAGTACTATATTTCCCTGAAAATAGCATCTAACCAGAAAATAAGCCCAAACGAGCAAAAATTGCTTTTAGAGCAAAAATTAATATAAGACCCAGCCTTAATTTTGGGGAAACGCTGTACATATGCCTGCTAGGCTCACTCTTTAACTATTTTTCAGCATATATGTAATTTTAATTAACAAATCCAGATGTTAAAGAAAATTCAGACATGTAGAAGGTTAGGACAGCACATACCATACAACATATAAAGATTGTGGAAAGATGTGATATAATCTAGGAACAAGAACCTATTTAGATAGCTGTTGAAATTTGGGAAAAAATATAAAAGAAAATTGAATTCAATATTAGAATGCTAAATGAGATTCAGAAGTATGTCTGGGCTTGATATTTATTGGAGCTTTAATTTACCTGTCTGAACATTTGTGGCAATGGAAAGTATCTCACCTCTAAGTACTCTATGAAATGTGGTAACATGGTAAGTTATATTTATTTTTAGATTTTTTTATGTTAATAAACCACATAAAGAGAAAACAATGACTTTAACCCAGTTTGCAATGCTTTACTGAGGAGAAGAAATTAGCCTTTTTGAAAAACAACAATAACAAAGTCCTCCTATCCTCTCTCGTAAGAAAGTGCTAGTCATGTGGAATATTTGAAAGGCCTTGTCTCCTGGTATGAGGACTGAGAAGAGTGCATGAGAGAACTATACGTTTGTAAGGGAAGAAGAACATATATGTGTATGTGTGCATGAGGAAGCAAGGGGCAGAAGAATCAAGCAAGGCAGCAAGATATCTTGTGATTTTACATCCATATATGAAATTGTTCTGTATCTTATTTCTTATCAGTAGAGAAGCATTCAGATGTTTCAACAAACCATGCACTCAAATGGCATGTTTAAAGTGTACCAGCATTGTAATTTCATCTCTCTCTCTCTCATTAAGATCAAATTATAACACATAAACAAAACTGAATCTTGAGGACTGAAAATGTTGAAATAAGCTGACACCTGTTAACTAATAATGATTTATTGCCAGACTTGGCTAAGTTGTACATTTAGTTTTTATCATTTAGTCTGTGTAACAGTAGTTTGTTTCTAGAACTGTGACACTACTGGATTTTATGAGAATTGCATAATAAGGGGAGCTTGGTCCATTGGTTGAGATCAAGCTAAAGTAACGTTGAGTCTTTCCTTACAGTTCTTTTTAAATGAAAATAGATCCTATTAGTTACAGTAGAGCTTAGATAAAAATGCATAATCATAGCTCCTACTGCTAAGCTTTGTCTTTGTAGGATAATGCTAAGAATAGTCTTACAGTATTGTTTCTTACTTCAAAAGTTTGGAAAAAAGATGATATATGGCTCTGTTGGTGATAAATGGCCATGATATTTGGAATTATTTAATTGGTTGCCTGCCAACTTTCATAATAGCTAATCTCAAATGTTCTTTTATGTTCTCTGAACCCAAACACAGCTGCATGGGAAGTCTAGTTCCAGCTTTGTGGGTAAGGTGCTCCTCCTCATCCTCAGTGGATTGGAAATTTGGGAGCAAATATCAAATTGTTGCTTAAAACATCCCAAACAAGTTAACCTTGAAAAAACAGTGAATATTTATAAATACGACCTCAATTTCCTGAATGGGAAAGAGATTCCATGAAGCACTAAAGCTGTGTAGATCAGCAATGTTCCTATATTTCAACAATTCCCATTTCTCTTGGTAGCCATTCATATTGCAACTTCTCTCTCAATGGTCTTTTACACAATCTGTGTTGTCATTCAGTGATTAATCTGTGTGGTGCTGTTTTTGTTTTTGTCACATCTCTATTTTCATCTATTTTAGTAGAATATGTTGTACTTCAGCTAAGTTTTTTCGGTTGAAGATTGTTTTCCAAGTTCAACATGCTCCATTTGTCTGATATTTCTTAATTTCTGAATCCATTCAGGAAAAAAAATAAATGCAGTATGACATGTTTTTTTTAAAAATATGAATAAAAGAACTGTCTTTTTTTTTATTAAAAAAAAGCAGTTACTCTGGTTACCCATAGCAATATCAAGCCATTTATTAGAACAATCTCTGTGCTGTTTAACTTCTCAGATACTGTTGGGGGAGCTGCAGTTCCATGAATCTGCATTGTTTTAGAAGAATATTCTAGTTCTTTGGAGTTAAATTATGCTAAGATATTTTTTTCATAAGAATGTGAAGCTTATAAATCTAGTTTATGATGTCCATCATTTAATTGTTCATTCAAATCACATTACGATTTACAGTCTCTCAGTGAAGTAACTGTTTTGTGTTAAAAGATAAATAATGCATGAGCAAAAATTGTGGGTTCCCTTAAAATTATACAGCCAGAAATATTACGCTTAAAGGGAAATAATAGAAGAATGCTTTTGTGTTTTGAGAAAAATATTGCGCGTAGTTAGTTTTCAGCAGGCCTCCAGGCCAGCAATGACTCCTATTTGAAGCAGAGTCTAATTTTTGATAATAGCAGAGGACCAAATCTCCATGGTAAAAGTGTAGTTCATTGGTATTTATTTCATTGTAATTGTATTGTGTTAACTGAAGATTGCTGAATTGAAACAGTATAAAATGAATGTATCCAGTTCAGGCTAGAAAAATGTTAGAGATGGGTAAATTATGCTTGTTTTAATTAAATGTAAATGCTAATGATTTCTAAGAGGTTACATATGTGTGTGTGCGTGTGTGTGTGTGTGTGTGTGTGTGTGTGTTGTATTTGTGCTGATAAATAAAGGGAGATCTATTTCAAGCTATTTAGCACTCATCAGCTAGCCATACCCTTACTGGGATTCGAACCTGTGCAGTATTACATCTTAGGCATATACATATACATATACATATACATATACATATACATACGTTCGTACATTTTATATACTGTCTTAGATATTTTCTAGAATCTTGCAATATGCTTGAATTGTTCGAATGAAACTCTTGATACTGAACTATCCAAGGATCAATTTGTTTTACTGGAAGAAGGAATAGGCAAGCTTAAAGTGCTTGCCTATGGGCTTTCCTTCCTGGAAAGAAGCAGAAAATCCTTGCATCACAAGAGTGGTAATACTTCATGGCTTCAGGAAAGCCCGAGATTGTGTTCTTGATGTGATATGATTTCATTAAAAAAAAATCTGTCGTTATTGGAATGAAAAATTATTTTGTTCCTCTATATTAATTGGTTAATTATGGTTCCATTGTTTAAATAAGAGGTTAGGCATTTTAGTGTTCGATTGTCTTTTGATCTGGTGCTTTTTCTTTC